GTCAAAGATCACCCGTATAGCCCACATAGGTTGTAAAGGCAAGTGCTGTTCGCGAGCACCGGTGGAAGGTGCACAAGGGGGTGGTGGTGTGGCTCGCGCCACGCCCGCTCGCCTTTGGCTCCCCCAGAGTTCTGATGTTTCCACACCGTCGTAACGTGAACCCATTTGTGGTCGAGTCGACCTCGAGAAGGCCCAGGAACGGTTCAGATGACACTGATGTATGCTAGCCGTGGCCGGGAATCAAATCCGTAAGGACACACGCGCACACGTAGTATACACGCACACGTGCCCTCTCGCGCGCGCACACACACGAGCAGGATAAATTGGATTTTCTCTGCACGTGGTCATCAGCTTTGGAATTCCCTTTTGGCCTCGCCGCAAATATTGCTTGGACCTCAGTGAAGGCTCACGACCGGTGCGTGTCCTTGAATGAGTCACCTGACAAAAGCTGGTCATGGTGTGAGTCACTCACCTTGGGTCATGAATTTACGCGAGACCACGCTATATTACACTTTGTAAATGGTAATTATCAACCAGTCTAATCCACTGCTGTGTCATTGGTATATTTGGGAAACGGGAGAGAGAGAGACCGGCTTCACTGATATATTTGCTGCAAACTCCGATTGCCGGGTTCATAGCACAGTGCGCTAACCACTGTGCCACCACTCACCCTCCCCCCCCATTCTTACACACATCTCAGATAAATAGCAAAACTTTTGATTTTCCTTCCTAGAAAATATCTCCAACAAATGCCAATCACTGAATATCGGATTCATCAGGATTTGAGAAACGTTGTGCTATCGATGATATTTAAGGGCCCTCGAAAATATAATGTTCCAATGTCTGAATTTGTTTTCATATATAGAGAGTAAACATATCGGCCGTCAAGTCTTCTTGTCGAGTTGCGGCGTAGTGCATTCCATGAATACTGAACAAGCCGCACAAAAACGCTAATTTGCAACGCTTTTCAGAAGACAAAACAAACCTTGGCAGAGTTTAAGGTTGGTAAAAGAGTGCTTTTGGTTCGCCAACCCAAACCAGCAATATACAGTAGTTTACCATTAATACATACCCAGCCCCTTCCCATGAAGAGCGTAAACCCAGAACACGTTCATTAAAACGTATTTCTTTTTCATTGCCATTAGCCATTTGCATGTTTCCCGTAGGCCATTCAGAAATTGCACGGTCTTGCACGCAAACTCAAAGTGGACGCCGAATTGAAAATGATCCAATTTACCACACTCGTGACTGATACGTGTGTACGTAAAGTGTGCACCACGTTAGTGTTTGTGGAAGGCAACCGCGTGGACGTGTGTGTGTGCGTGTGTGTGTCTGTGTGTGTGCGTCTGTGTGTGGTGTGTAAACATTGCCACTAGGGAGACAAAGGCGGTCGGGCGTGGTGTTGGCCACCCACCCCCTCGTGTACCGTTCCGGCCTTCATAGGTGCTCGCTAACAGCACTTGCCCCTACAGTCTGTTAAGGCTATACGGGGGATCTTTGTCTTTGTTTGGTGTGTAAACATTGCCACTAGGGAGACAAAGGCGGTCGGGCGTGGTGTTGGCCACCCACCCCCTCGTGTACCGTTCCGGCCTTCATAGGTGCTCGCTAACAGCGCTTGCCCCTACAGTCTGTTAAGGCTATATGGGGGATCTTTGTTTGTCTGTGTGTGTGGGGAGCGATAGTGTAGCGGTTAGCGCGCTGCGCTACAAACCTGGCGACCCGGGTTCGATTTTCGCTCACGGCCAACATCAGTTACGATTATCTGAACCGGTCCTGGGCCTCCCCTAGGTCGACTCGGCCTCAAATGAGTACCTGGTGCGGTGTGTAAACATAGGTGCTCGCTAACAGCACTTGCCCCTACAGTCTGTTAAGGCTATACGGGGGATCTTTGTCTTTGTGGGGAGCGGTAGTGTAGCGGTTTGCGCGCTGCCAACCTAGTCCGACTCCCGCTCACGGCCGACACCAGCGACGATTATCTGAACCGGTCCTGGGCTTCCTCCCCTAGGTCGTCTCAGCCTTAAACGAGGACTACACGGTACTGTGTGTGAACATCAGACAATGGGGAGACAAAGACGACCGGGGCGCGGGGTTGGTCACCCACCCCCCTCCGTGTGTCGTGTGGGGCTTAATAGGTGTTCGCTAACAGCACTTTCCCCAGCAGCCTGTTGAGGCTGTACGGGGGCGTCTTTCCTTTTGTGTGCGCGCGCGCGCTCCATGCCAATTACAGACATCTCCCGGACTGCGCCTGCTACCGTCAGGCAAAAGCAGGTTTCTTTTTTATTTGCCTGGTTAGTTACAAGTGCACCTGGCAGGGCTTGCCAGGTGCGGTAGTTTAGGCGTCGCTCAGTGCCGAGTGATTGCTCCCCCGTCACGTGGTGGGATTGCTACGCGTGTCCCACGAGGGTTTTTCTTTCATCCTCTCCCTCGCTCTCCCCGCGTGGAGAGGGCCACTCGTCGATGGGATCGTCGAAAGATCCCAATGTCTACGGGGGGGACTCTCCGACATTTGCAGGGACTCGCCGATTATTTTTCGTGGTTAAATGGTTGGCACTCTCGAAACCCCCATAGGCATCATTTTGACGTCGCTCCAGTCTTTTTTGTCCAATTAAATTATCTCTTCTTGTTCTTGTTAATAAAACAAAGTGTAAACCGTCACACCTTCTGCGGTACGTAAACCCACACGCACTGGCACACGCGTGCCGCCATGCCGATGCATGCGGGATTATCGCAAGATTTAGAGCTGTAGATTTTTAGTGTGCACACCAACGGGGAAGACGAGACCGCATCTCGTTTCACCTCCACGCAATGCGGTCAATTCCCGGTTCCCATACGAGTTAGTAGGTAGCGGGGCCATTACGTGGGGGTTTGCTGTACAGGTGTGTGGGAGTTTAGGTCGGTCATTGGGGCTTGATTCACCATACTTCACCGGGCTGCCGACTGCGTGGATAGGATCTATTTCGCATGCGGGTTATGGCGAAGGGGCGGGTATGGCTATGTGTGGGTATGTGCACAATTCTATAAAGACAACGGTTCCCACGATAGTCTAAACAGGCTGTAGGGGGCAAGTGCTGTTAGCGAGTCGCATCAATGAAGGCTGGCACGGCGCACGAGGGGGTGGGTGGCCAACACCACGGCCGGCCGCCTTTGTCTCCCCAAGTGGCGATGTTTACGCACCGCAACAGGTACTCATTTGAGGCCGAGTCGACCTAGGGGAGGCCCAGTACTTGGGTTGCCGGGTTCGTAGCGCGCTAACCGCTACACTACCGCTCCCTACAAGGATCCATAACAACCGCGCGTTCACCGCTAAGTGGCGGTGATGTCACAACGGCGCCTGGTGCCATGCTAGGTGCACTTTTAAGCCATATAGACACACACACACACGAGTGCACTGCACTATGAACCCGGGCAACCGAGTTCGACTCCCTACCACGTCTAAACGTCGTAGTCGAACGACATCTAGACCGTTTCCCGGAGCGGACCAGCGTGGTGAAGTATGGCCAAACAATCCCCGCGACCGACGCGCCGTTTTGGAAAGGCGCTCCATCCAGCAGTGGATTCGCAGAAAGGCTGTTCACACTCGAAAGTCTCGGTGCTTGCAAATTCTCCCCATCACGCCCACTGCTCGCCCCGTGTAATCGCGCAGCCTGTAGAGGCGACTGCTGTTAACGAGCTCCAGGTGCGTGAACAGTACTCGGCAATATCTCAACTCACGCGCCTTCATGTTTACACACCGACTGCATCAGGAACTCGTTTAAGGCTGAGCCTACCTAGGGGGATGACGGGTACAGGTTGGGATAGTAGTTTATGGAATTGCTGGGTACGGTGGCATGATTGTGATAACTATACCAAGCCGTGCACAGACACACAAAGACACGGACACATAATTAGACAAAGACAAACGCGTAGACATTCTACAAAGACAAAAAGGCAAAGATCCCCCGTACAGCCTTAACAGACTGTTGGGGCAAGGACACCAGAACGGCACACGAGGAGGTGGGGGTGGCCAGCACCACGCCCGGCCGCGTTTGTCTCCCCCTGGTGCGATGTTTTTACGCATGGCACCAGGTTACTCATTTAAGTCAACCCAATGCAGGCCGCGGACCGGTTCAGATAATCGTCGCCGGTGTTGAGCGGACATCAAAATGTGGTCGCCGAGCACGAAGCGCAGCGCGCAGGCAATTCCACCACCACTCCCCCAATACATTCCACAAAGACAAAGATTCCCCGTTGAGCCTCGACATAATTTCGAGGCAAGTGGTGTCGGCGAGTAGCGCCTACGAAGGCCGGCACGGCATGTAACATAACATACGCACAGGCGTACACAGGTACACGCACACGTAGCGCCGCAGATACACGAAGACAAACCACGCGTCCACACGCCGATAGACTCACACAGAAGCGCACATGTACAAAGACAAAGATCACCCGTATAACCTTTAACGGACTGTTGGGGCAAGTGCTGTTCGCGAACGCCTATGCAGGCAGGCAAGGCGCATTTTCTCCCCAGCGCCTGATGTTTACACAATTAAGGCCAAGTCGACCTAGGGGAACCCCAGAACCGGTCATATATATTCGTCACGGATGCCGTAAGCGGGAATCGGTGGTGGTCGCCCGCGTTAGTCGCGCGGCGCGCTAACAACTGCACGACCGCTCCGCACGTATACAAGACACGCAAGGACAAAGATGTGCCCCGTGTAGCCTTAACAGACTGTTGGGGCAAGTGCCGTTCGCGAGTAACACCTACGAAAACCGGCACGGCACACTAGGGGGTGGGTGGCCTGCACAACACCCGGCCGCCTTCGCCTCCCCAGCGGTGATGTTTTACGCATCGCACCAGACGCTCAGTTAACCGTCTCTGGGTGTTGGCCGTGAGCGCGATTCGAACTCGGGTGGCCGGGTTCGTAGCGGAGCGCGCTAACCGCCGCACCACCGCTCCGCACAAGACACGCACACATAGACACACCGGCCCACGAGGAGAAGACGCACAGACACACATTTACCGATGTGGATGATGGAGTCCCCGCGGCATCCCATCCACGCGCAGCCAAAGGCGAAGACGGCTGCCAGAGTCCCCATCGCTCTGGCGAGACGCATGGCGACAGTGGCGTCTCCCGTCCTCCTTCAGTTACAGTTCCTCCCTCCTCCTCGTCTCACTTTTTTTTGTTTTCTTCTTCTTCTTACGGAGACATCCGACTCTTCCTCGCCGGGTATAACCGAGAGCAGCAATAACCCATGGCTGTCCGCCCTCAACCCTACCCCCTCCTCCTCCAGCCACTCGGAGGCTCGAATCCAAGGCGCGTTGCAGCCACTCAGGGAGGAGCGACCGGTCACATACACACCACACGTCTTGCACAGCTTACGCTGAGAAAAAAAGTAAAAAAAAATACATTCACCAAAATAAAATGTTAAATTGTTAAAGACCTCTTCGATGTTCGGCCACCGAGCGTCAGCCGTGCGCACTGTGCAGAGTGACACGGGGGAGCGCGGCGTGCAGTGAGCGCGGGGTGCAGAGGGGAGGAGGAGGAGGAGGGGATGCGGTGAGCCGATTTGCAGGGGGGGCGAGGGGACGGAGCAGCAAGCAGTGAATGCTGCCCCGTGTCCTGTGGCTGCTGAGCGCGTTGACACACGACGCGCGCACGCACAGAAGGAAAATAATAATATTATTAAATAAGGCAGCGCAGGACGCACGCACACACGCGCGTGCGCGCGGGCGCACGCAATCACTACCCCTGATAACTGTTCTCACGTTTCCAGTTGCGCATCATTACACAGGCGAATCCAATGAGCCTACAACCAACCACTACCACCACCAACCACTCCGTCCCCTCGCCCGCTATTATCCCTCCATCCCCCCGCCACCGCCAACCTTACCCCCCCCACCCACCCACCAAATCCCCTCTCCACCACTCACATCACCCACTAGACGTTACGCACAAAGCCAACGATCCCCCGTATAGCCTTAACAGACTGGTGGGGCAAGTGTTGTTAGCCAGCACCTGTGAATCTCGAGAACGGGACACGAGTGGGTGGGCGGCCAGCACCACGCCCAGCCGCCTTTGTCTCCCGAGTGGCAATGTCGCACTACGTTCTCAATTGAGGCTGAGTCGAACTAGGGGAGGCCCAGGACCGGTTTGTCACTGGTGTTGGCGGTGACTGGGAATCGAACTCGGGTCGCCGGGTTCGTAGCGCAGCGTGCTAACCGCCACACCACCGCTCCCCGTGTTACGCAGACCTCCACCACTGCATTACGCAGACATCACTGCAGACACCACTGCATCCACCACTGCGTTACGCAGACATCCACCACTGCATTACGCAGACCTCCACCACTGCATTACGCAGACATCCACCACTGCATTACGCAGACATCCACCACTGCATTACGCAGACATCCACCACTGCATTACGCAGACATCCACCACTGTATTACGCAGACATCCACCACTGCATTACGCAGACATCCACCACTGCATTACGCAGACATCCACCACTGCATTACGCAGACATCCACCACTGCATTACGCAGACATCACTGCAGACACCACCGCGTTACGCAGACATCCACTACTGCGTTACGCAGACATCCGCGCACGCACGCGCGCGCGCGCACAGATGCCCTCTCAAGTTCCACCCTCCACAATGCAGCAACCGGTTCCGTGAACCCAATAACATTGTCGCGCGCAACAACCGACATCACGAGCCAGGCAACCACCTCCACCATCATCCACCGCTCACTCACCTACCAAGGCAGCCATCACACATCCACCCTGCCATGCACTGCCTCGCCTTGATACCCCTACGCCACAATCCTCCCTATTCTTCGCTGCCCGTTTTGCTTCGTCTCAAGAGGAGGCACGGAACAATTACGCGCAGCGTCCATGCAACACAGGAGGAGGAACGAAGGCAGACTTAGGCTTGAGTTAAACACAACACGTGTGTGTATGAATGTGTATGTGTGTATCTGTGTGTGTGAATGTGTGGGGAGGGGTAGTGTAGCGATTAGCGCGCCTACGCTACGAACCTGGCGACCCGAGTTCGATTCCCGGTCATGGCCAAGACCAGTGTCGATTATCCGAACCGGTCTTGGGCCTCCTCTAGGTAGACTCACTCTCAAATGAGCACCCGGTGCGGTGTGTAAACATTGCCACTGGGGAGACAAAAGCGGCCGGGCGTGGTGCTGGCCACCCACCCCCTCGTGTGCTGTTGCAGGCCTTCATAGGTGCTCGCTATAAGCACTTGCCTCAACAGTCTGTTCAGGCTATACGGGGGATCTTTGTCTTGTATATACATGAATGGTGTCTGTTCACAACAGATCGTGAGGCTGTATTGTTGCGTGGGGGGGGGCTTTGTGCTGAGCGAGCCCTGATCGTGTAGACGGAGTCCTCTCATCAACAACGTTTGGTTAAACCAAGCTGGCGATTTTATTTTATAAACTGAAACAAATAAAGAAGCCTGGCTGCTTCACGAGAGCGAAACCAGCGTTGAGGTAACTTGCACAATGTTTGCTGGTTAACGTCAGAAGGCTATAAAGAGCCAATAAGAGGCCGACGGCAGTTGAAATTAATTTAACAATTTTATGTGGAGATACAGAACGGAAGTTAGTTCGTGTGCATCATTCTTACCACTAGCATGCGATGTTGCGCGTGCGCGGTGAGCAATTGACACGTATTTACGTTCTATCAAAGCAACCAAAAAAACCATAAGAGAATATTGACATTCGTCCGGCAAATACATAGGAAGGGGAGCGGTGGCATAATGGTTAGCGCACTGCGCCGCAAAGCTTGATTCACCAGAGTTAAATTCAATGGCAACGGCTACGTTCATTTGCCAGTGGTATGGGGCCATGCCGGAACACCCAACAGCCTTGCTGGATTGAGTCTGGTTCGTCCTTGGAGGGGCGATCACCGGGGCTTGCCTTGTGTTGTAGGCACAATGCACCGATTCGTATGCCTGGGGCTTTCTCGCGGGTTCTCCAATTACTCCCAACAAACACTCAACAATATAATGAACCAAACATCGTCCCAATGTAGCAGAAACATTGAGTGTTGCGAACGAGGCTGTTTTAGAATTGGTAGTATCTTCTAAGACGTCTGACCTACATCGAAGAGTAGGTCAAAATTCCCTCTAGAGGTGCTCTCGAAAGCTGCCTCTACTGGAGTCTTCTGCCAACAGGGGCAAGAAAAAGTAATTGCAGGGTTGAACCTTTGCCTATAATTATTCTCGCAGCAGCTTTTGGCTTTCAAATGCGCTTCGGCGGCCGTCTGGAACGCTCTTCCGATATTAGGACGCCACTGGAACGATGTACTTTTAAATGTCGATTGAAAACGAATTTGTTTAGAACTGCTTTTTGGGTTTAGTTTGTTGTCCTTACCTGCGAAGAGCACGGTTGGCTACGTACAGTGCGAAAGAAGTTCAACGTACATTCATAACTTCAGTTACACGCTCCTAAATCCAGTTTCATCTCAGGTTTACAAACACATCTCCACGGTGTGCCAGGTGTGTGTTGTTTGGGAGTTGAATGCAGCACCTCGGGTGAATTGACATGACTGGCGTAGATAGTGTGTGAAGGATGAGCGTCACTCTACGGTACACCTTGGAGTGGTTGGTTTCCAAATGATAGACCCGTTGTGTAAATGTGATGGAAGATTGTTACCTTGAAAATATCCGTGAAATTTCACGATTAAAGTCTCCCACTCCCCATCGCCAAAAATAAGCTCAATTTCTTCCCCACGGGATAATGACGCACGTGTACCCACATCTATGTCTGATATATAGCCGGTTGGGAGTTGAGTATACCTGATGGAAATTCGAATGATGTGCACAGATGTAGCTGTTGAGTATGTTCATAACAACAACAAAACATATCCGACTTTTTTTTTCATTTAGGACCCCCAAAATTGTGATTAAAATTAGTTTTACTTTTGTTTTTAATCTTGTCCTTCCGAAAGGTTGTATCTAAAGATTAAGTGTGTGGAACGTAAATACCACCAGATAGCTTTACTCTAAAAAAATAATTTTACGTCCACATTTGGCCGTTGCTGAATCGAAATATGGTGTCATATATATAAAAAGCCAAAAATAGAGAAAAATAATTCAAGCTAATTTGAAACTTTACTTTAAACGAGGAAAGAGAAAAAAAACATCTTGCAGAAGCGAGAAAGGGTAGTCGCCTGCGCTCGCCACACATGCGTACTGCCGGGGGGGGAGGGAGAACTTCCACGAATTTCCGATTTATAAACCCAACAGCCAACGAGCACAAGCCAACCCCGCAAGGTGACCGCACCAAGTGACCGCACCAAGTGACCACACCATGTGACCACACCAAGTGACCACACCATGTGACCACGCCATGTGACCACACCACTTGACCATCCAACGCGATCCGCTCGCTCTTTGTGCGTCTCTCACCCCGCGAAGATGATGGTTGGTGGCTCCTAGGCTCACGTGGTTTGAAAACCCCGGGGTTTATGCATAAGCTGGGCCCTTGCCATAGGAATGTGGAATATACACCGCCGGATAGGAGTTAGCCAAGTACTTGAAAAATTGCGGGATTGATGTAATAAAACGGAAGCTGATGGGATAAGCATTAATATTCACAGTTCATATCATGCCCGTCTGTCCATCCGTCCATGCATCTGTAGATCCGACACGTGTTGTGAAAAGTTTCTGTTTTGTTTACAAAACCGCCAAACCAATCGCTACGAAACTTACAATGCAGTTCGCGAAAAACGAATGCCAAGATAATGCGCTGTTTTTTGGGCAACGTTGGGCAATGGCATTGTTTTAAAAGAAAAAGTGGTTTAATCAAAAACAAACCCTGAACAATGTACCCCCACACGACTATCATTGTCAAAACGCACGTGCGTGGATCCCAGCACGCACGCGTACAAACACTTTAACGGGTGATAACATATTGCAAGTAAATTGACAACAGTTGCAGCGTGCAACGCACGGATAACCAAGGCCAGGGGCGGAGCCAGGATTTCAGGCCGCGGTGACATTCAACAAATGTTAATTTCAAGAATGATTAGAGAGTCGGGCTGTTGAACTAGACGCCATCGGTTGGCGACACACTCTGACAGTGCAGTTGCACGGAGTCCGCCAGACCGAGTGTCGTACACTTTCACGCAGAATGTCACCCCCCCTGTCACCCCCCCCTGGCTCCGCCCCTGACCAAGGCGACGCCTCGATGTGCACGTGTTGTTTTAAAGTGCATGCGTACGCGCCTACAAAACCAAATCATCCTGAACCTCGTTAGATCTTGTCAGGTTTAAGAAAACTGTACGAGCAGGCTTAAACCCAGTGTTGCTAAATGTATGTGATAGTGACCGAGAATGATTGGTGTTGTGGTGCTTGGATCCAAAGGTAGACAGGAAGAGATTGGCAGTACAGCAGCAATGCTTTTATATATTTTATATATATATCGGTCTGGACGTATTCGTGGTATCCCATCGTATGTTTGGCTTTTCTCCGGGTACTCCGGATGGATCTGTCCAAATAAGCCACCGCCAGGATCCTCTTGAAAAGGAGTCTGAAAGAATCGGTGAGACTTTCCCGGTAGGAATAAAACATTAGCATATCGTTATGTGCATCCACCTGTATACATTTCCACGTCTTTTTTTTCCAATCAACTCCACTTGAAATGAAATTGTCCGCAATGGTGTAATGGTTACCATAATGAACTTGCAATTCCGTGGTCACTACTTACAAACTAATTTATTTTTACAAGGCAAGGCCCACTGAGCTGTTTAGCTCTTTTTCAGAAGCGACCTGGCCACAAATGATATCTCAACGAAGTAGTTTATCAGCATATGGAGATATATAGGAGCCAAATACT